AAATGCTTCCCGTTTTCACGAGACGTCTTCGTGGTATCAAAGACTTTTGTTTCCACTCCAGGTGCAACGAATACCTGAAGGAAAGTCGAAAGATACTGAGGATCGCTACTGGAGCACAAATCGGTTCGTTATATTTTCTTTCACAACGACACCCCAGGATAAGTTCAGACAACCAGATGCTACTCTTCGCAGTGAGCCCATCAGGAGAGTGAAACCACTGGGTTTTTACCTCCCACTAGAGGAGAGTGATCTGTAGCGTCACATACTTTCACAGAATCAACAGCGTAAAGTTCGGCGAGTTTCAATATTGATGATGGCCTTCATAGTTTTTCCAGACTCGCTAAACTGAGGGCATACGGTCAAGAAGCCACGCCACTTGGCACAATGTCATGTTACGCTTCACTGCTCGTAGTCAAAACTCTACTCAGGTAGTCGGAGTGCATCGGCATTTTGACACCACCTCTCAAATATATTTTTCCATCTGACTACGGTGTTATGTTCTTCCCCTGTCTCGTGTTCGCGGACAAATTACGAGTCTGAATGATCAGTGATTGGTATGTGCGTCTGTCAGGTTCGCACAGGGACAATTCCTAAACTGTCATTACATAAAGGAACGTTGAATAGATGGACAGAGTGGGACTGGCAAGCGATGCCTACAGTATCCATTGCTATAGGAGTGTTTACGTGAGTAGCTTGAGCTTTCTTCCCACTCTAATCCATTTGTTATGTTTTGCACTGACGTTCGCTTCTGGCATGGCTACAGGGCCTGGGATAGATGTGGTTGCCCTTGGCGTGGGCATTTTTTGCTTGGTTTTGGACAGCTCAGGTCTGTAACTTTCAGAGAGCCATTGGTGACAACCTCTGGAAGGTGAATCTCTTTCATGGTCGTGGTTCGGACGGGTACCTGCTTTTTGGCGGTTGCTCGGGGTTTGTCAGCCACTCTAAGTAAGCCTGAAGGCAGATGCGGTCTCAGAAGGCACTACCAGCGGATGTGCCAGAACCACACGCACGGATGGCGCGTCACAGAATTGTGGCACTGATTTGGTACTCTTGTCACATCGGCATTGTACCCACCTGTTGTATTCACAGGTTGCATCACTTTTAGTTGCAGCGAGAGCATATGTGCGGCAGTCATCAACATGTCCAGACGCTTCTATCTTACTCCGCTTGGCGGCCTTCGCCAGTGGGTCGTGACAGGTTCTGGGTGTAGCACCATGGGGGGGGGTTCGCGTTCGTCTAACTGAGGATAGTGACGTGTGCAGTGGTGTGAAGTTTGAGAGTTCGACTAACTTCGGGTGACCGTTTAATTGAGCTTGGCCTAAGTGGTGTGTCAGTATTCCATTAAAGCTTTCTTTGTCACGTTTTGAAACCTCCTAGCCCCAACCATTTTGGACTTTCTCGTGATAACCTCGATAATAATTAATCCTAGCAGCAGGGATAACGTAAGATATTAAAGAACCTACAATAAAGGATATGGAATGCATACTATAGAATGGCAGGAGTATATTCAGTTGTTTTAAACCCAACTCAAGGGGCTAATTTGCAGGACCAGTAACAAGCTTGGTGCCTTATCTTTGAACATGCTTCAGCACACCAGCATCCCTTTTCAGGCATTGACTAAATGACCTAAATGCAGTATTTTAAGTTACATCTTGAGAGTGCAGAATGGGACGCCCCGAACCTTTCCTGGTCATGGAATGCTTCACTTGCAGCCGCTGCGCGGTGCACGGGCGTCTTTAGATCATAACCCAAGGTGTCATACAGGTCTTCTGGGTCTAAGACCAAGAGTTTCATTATATAGCTAACGGGATTTTGGAGACAACTGCTATGACCGATGAATATTATCACACTTTTGTCAGAATTGACTTCCAAATATCAACGTTTGGACCAACCTATCAGTTCATCCATGTTCGCTTGAACTCATACCTATCGGCACCACTCTGTACAACCCTCCAGAACTTTACGCCGTCGGCTTATGAGGACAAAAAGGGGTCAGGCATTTGCAGTAATCCCTCAGCTCGTAGCATAGAAGAGAGGGGACCCAAAATCGTTCCCTGAGGAACTTTACCCACTATAGGTTTCCAAATAGATATGAGCCCACTGGACCAATCGGTAAGTGGCGAAGAATTTGTGAATGCACACAATAAGTTATTCAATTGGCGCTCCTTTAGTCTCCTTTGTGTTTAAAGCTGATAAGGAAAAAGCTTGGTCGTCCCATTCTTGAGATTTTCGTATAGGAGCTGGTAAACTGGAAGTGGTTTATATTCTGTTTCCTAGGTACCAGACGTGGATCTTTATTTTGGAGTTCTTGTCGCCGACCACCTCCCACTGGGGAACTGAATTCCATCGACAGCTCATCAGTAGGACCATTCCATGAGGACTGTACGAGGCAGGATTGCACTTAGAATGCCCTACACCAGTCAAAATAATCCTAGAATAGATATCGAACCTCTGTCTGAAGGTGTTCGACTGTGAAATCCCCATCACCTCCTGAGGAAGAGAATGCCACAGTCAAAACCTCTCGGAAACTATTGACAGGAAATTTCATACAGGATCTTTAGCTTTCAACCCTGAATAGACGTCATCTTAAATGAGATCTCAGACAGATACGCAGAATTGGTCGCCTTGGATAACTTTGATTGCGGGTGGCATGATGCATCAAGATAGTTCACCCTCCAACGCTCCCGAGCCGCACAAACTGGAGGTGTAGTGCATTCTGGTGCTCTGTAGTTATCATCCTACCTCTCGGAAAAGTGGAGCCTGTCAAGGTGAACCACCACCTCTCAAAGTATCATTGACACCCTCAAAACAGACTGAGGACATGCGACTGCTCTGACTCGGACCATACTTCAAAAGTTCTTGGAACACAAGGGCAAAACCAGGTAAGCCTCAAGCCACCGAATGGACTGAGAGAAACTTCACCTTCAATGGTTTGGACAAGGCTGCAGGAGGGCCCATGAACCTTCGGCGTTACCTCTACAATATTGAGCGGTAGGAATTCCTGGTATCGAGTGCAGGCGTGGACAATTTAATAGCTGGTAGCCCGGTCGGACTTCAGAGACAGATTCAACAGATCCCCACATCCAGACTGCTAGCTTTTCGTCTTGACCTTAAATGGTAGCTCACAGAGACTCCGGTGGCATGGCAGTGTGAAGGGACAAATATGAGGTGAGGCCTGACGCCGAGGAAGCAGTGTCGGTTCTGCTGGAATATAAGATAGGAGACAACTTCCCAAAAGCACCCCAGATCATGCCGGACACGAAGGAATTATCATCCAGTAGACTAGCTCTGTAGATCTTATAATGAACACCATATTCAGTACACTAAGCCCACAGCTCAAGAATGGTCCAAAATACCGAGTGCTTGCTGATCAAACATGGAAAACCGGTACGCCAGAAGCAGGCAGATGGCCACCGATCAGCCGATAATACCTAACTGACGCAGCTCTGTCGGATAAAAGAACTCCTGGTTCAAGCGCCGTGCATCCAACAAAGGACAGAACTCCCCCGGCTACGAGAGGTCACAACCTACGCCAAACCTGGGTTCGCAACGGTTACTTCATATCCCTGGACAATGTGGACAGAGTACTAGACTGTGATCCAAAACCGCAACAATATTTCGCCTCAGCACAAAGCCACAAGTGAAGACGAAAAACCTGTCACTGGACCCCACGGGGTATTCCTCATTGGCTTGACGACAGTGGGACTGTTGAGTATATGATTGGAAAAGTAGCCCGGCGCCATGCCATATCCACCAACGACGTCCATTCACGTAGCACAGCTAACTCATTGTGATTCTGGAGTCGCCGGCACCAGCATTTCGACCGACCAAGTGTTTGCAAACTGTGTCTACAGACAAGAGAAATCTGGCTGTCCCATGGTACTGCCGAGAGACGCCAAGTATGCTCGTTTGGGATGTGCTTACGTGTTCGCTGAAAGAACGGAAGCGAACTAGTGTCTCACCAATCTTCAATGGGAGAGATGAAATAATCCAAGTAATTGTAGACCGACAGCGTTGCTGTGGCTTGTACAACAGAACGCTCAGAAAAATCTTGTTTCTTAAAACTTCGAAATTATGCCAAAATCCACTCACCACGTTAGTGTCGTTGCCTGAAGCATCCCAGGGTACTTGGAAAATCTCGTTGAATATGCTACTCGGGCGCTCACTAGCCACCAGCCAAACTGCCCGGAACAACCTGACTACTGTTGAAGATAGCGACTAAGCCATCCATCTCAACCTAGCCAAAGAACAAGATGTCTTGCTCAATTCCATGCCGTCAAGTCTTGCAAATGTGGACTGCACTGAACTGTTCTTTTCATCAGTCAGTAAGCATCAACGCCAAATCCACCGACCTTTCGGAGGGACCTGCAGGCGAGCTATAAGAACGAATGTCAGGCGGAATAAAACCGCGACGACCCAGGCGTCACTTCAACACTACATGGAATATTGGGAGGAAGCAAGAAACTGCTTCGCACACCAAGAAACATGCGCGAACACCCCACTAGACGAGCAAAATGGCTGCAACGTAAGGGACTCACGAAGCAGCAGGTAGGCCATCTGAAGAAGTGCGCTGTGACCACCCGCCTCATCAGCGCTAGCATCTGCAGGCGAATAAGCGGAGAACCTTACACCCCAACACAGATATGAAAAGCGACAGCCCGCCCCTAAGCTGGAAAAGATGTTTATGACCACCCTGTCGTTGAAATTCGGGATCAGATAAGTAATGCTGTCCGTAAGCTGACCACTTCCCCAGCCTCATAGACATCCTTGCATACTTGCGTTCTCGAAACGTTATCGATTTTGGAAGTCGATGGAATAATCCATAACACATCAGGGGATGTGCATGGAGCGCCACTCAAGGCAATCCAAGCCCTACTCACGCAAACACATCGCAGTCTGGTCAGCAAAAACTAACATGAATTTGTGGTGAGGTTATTTATTAACAAGTATATTGTCATTGAAGTTAAATGCAAATAAGTATTCAGGACCATCCGCCATACCACTGATTAGCTTTGCCTCCAACATGCTCTCCGGAGCCCATACCGCCATAACCACCATAGGTGCCACCACGGGAAGGAGCGCTACGAGGGAAAAGAAAGTGCCACATTAGTGAAAGCCATACAGACCGGAAAATAAAAAACACAGGCCTTGTCAGTCCGACTACACCAATGCAGTATGCCACCATTTGGCACTCCCTAAGTTGCTCTTGTCAACGCCAAACAGTATTAAGCTGTCAGGAAGTTCTACATTGATAAGTGTCATCACTCCGAGACAAAGCTTTTCCTGAAAACACTCTCACTTCAGCGGTGCTGCAGGGTGGACGTCATTTGACACTTATAAGATAAGCACCGAGACGGAATGTACCTCTGTAATGGGTCAAGCATGCAGAACACCATGCTTTCAGTTTCAAACTGCTCACGGGACCCAGCTGACCGGGCGAAGACCCCTGGTTGAGGGCCAGGCGCCGTTACTCGAGCTCCAACAGGCATCCACGGAGGAGCTTAGCAAACTGCGTTAAGATGAGATACGCGTTTAAAAATTGACTCACCTTTGACCGCCAGGCATATCACTAGCCCCACGTGCGCTACCGCCATATCCTGACCCGCCGTATCCACTGGAAGACATGTTGCCTGATCCACCATAACCAGGACCACCGAAACCACCCTGTCCAACAGGGTCCATACCGCCGTATCCACCGTTGTCAAATCCACCAGGTCCATCATATCCACCGGGACCACCATAGCCTCCATCTGCGGCACCGCCGTAACTGCCCGGGGGACCCATAGAGCTGTTGCGACCGCCTGGGGGAGGTACTGGGGCTGGACCCGACGATCCCATCATCCCTCTCTGACTCTGTGGAGGTGGCACATTTCCACCCATCATTCCCCCTCCTGAGCGGGAGCCCCGCCCGCGACCTCCGTGAACTGGACCGCCGCCCATAGGACCCATACCACCACCTGGTCCCATTCCTCCTCCAATGGGCCCCATGCCGCCTCCCATAGGACCCATGTCGCCACCACCCATCATGTATGGACCTCCCATGTTGTAGCCCATTGGTGGCATGCCTCCGGGGCCACGGAGTGGCATTCCTTGTGCTAATGCTGCAGCGGCTTCTCGAGACAACCAACCTCCATAGTTGAGAGCATCACCTTCGCTGAAGTTGGCAGCGTCATAATCCTCACGGCGACCACGAGGAGGAGCAGACTGAAAAGAAGTTCAAAACATGAATCAGCAGTGCACAATTTACAGGACTAAACAAGCGACAAAGACGTAGCAGCAGTTAGTTTTCTTCCCGATGACTTCTCTTCATGGAGCCGTGCCATGAGTGTCTTCGGGAAAATGTCCTCCGCTGGCACGTCTCTGCACTGTCTAAATACGAGGACATTGTGTCCACCTGGAGACATTCGCATATGCGTGGACTAGAGACCTCAGGATTCCCGCTCTAATGAGCATACAAACTGTAGACGCTTATAAAACCTGTGAAAGCGTGTCGCACCACAGTAGGCTCAAAAAGCACAACCCTGTATTGTTTTGCAGGTTTATGCAGCCGCCCTACCATCTTGTAAGCCAATCACACCACTTGACTAGTAACTAGTTGTGCATCAGTAGTACACCAACCGTTGAAATAACACGGTGTGGCAACCCTTGGAAATTACTTGCAAGGAAATCGGGAGAAACCTGTCCACTCTTACCTCCACTGCTTCGATCACAGCTCTCAGACACTGGACAACATTGTCGGGATCCGCGACCATCTGCACCACTCGATCAGTTGATAAGGGGGCCAGCATTTGGTAGACCTTGATAACACGCATTTTGTATTTCTGAATTTTATTAGAAAATGTATTAGAGGACTTACATCACGAAGGTCCTTGATACGTTCCCCACCACGTCCAATAACAGACCCTGCTTGACTCTCGTGTACCAAGATTCTGAAGTCGATCATGTTCTCATCCTCATCTTCGTCTCGTTCAGGGTCCTCATTACGCCGACCACGGCGTCGGATACCCTGTGCCCCCATTATGCGTTTCGGATCGGAAAGCTTGGCATTCATTATGTCCTTCAAAGTCAGTCTTAATAAAAAATCAACCTACCTTGAGTTTTGGGCAAACATCTCGCATAATACTGCAGATAGCCTGCAGGTCACCTTCAATAGTCATTATCCTGTCAGAGAGATAAGAAGTTAGAGCGGGAAAGAAGGAAAAAGTAAAAATCACAAAGCAGCTAACAGAACTCATGACACCCTTCCATTTAGTGGCAGTACCGTGGAGGGTTTGGAGAACCAGACAACCTTCTGAGGGTCGTCATCGATTTACATAACACAACATACTGTATGATAGTGCCACTGGGGTTTCCAGTGACGGCTGTAACTTGTGGTTAAACTCGTAACCAAACACAACCAGGAATATAACTCCGTAAATCAAATCGAAAACTGACTTCGAAAACATACATTAATGAACCAAAAACATAAAAATTATAATTTAGGCAAACTAATTAATCGACCGAATAGACATCAAGGTGACATTAAGTTTCCATGTTACCCTACCGTTCTGGGCCTCTGCTGTCGGGAATATTCAGCTTGACGTTATACTGAGACAAAGAATGAGTAAAGCAGGGCCGGTTTCAGTGAGCCAGTCATCAGTTCGTGAATAAGGCAGGCAAGTGGGACCAACCCAAACCATTGGGTTATCAGTGGAGAGCGACCAAGTTCAGCGAGTCAGTGTCCATGAGGTGGAGGAACCGTAAAGAACATAAAACAAAGAATCAAGTCAGTTGGTGCCAAAACGACGGTTGGGCGAGTCACTAAATGAATTGTGCAAAAACAAACCTGTGACCGGATTTTTTTGATATTCTCCCCACCCTTTCCGATCATAATCCCTGCAGCTCTTCCAGGAATGAGAAATCTGATGGCAACATTTGTCAAATCAACAGTGGAACGCTGGAATTTTGATGGAGGACCATCCTGGTTGTTGCCTGCACTATCTCGTTTCATGTCGACCAGTGAATGTAATGGCTACCGGTAGAGTGACAATCAGACAAACAAACGTGTCAATATAAACAACGTTCAACTTTCGATAAACAAGTTCCATCGGTTCAGTCCGCAGTATTCCATTGTTCAGCGTTGAGAATGGTAGACCGGTTGTTCTGCGTTAATCCTTGCAGTAGATATCCTTTGAGGACACAGTTTCCGCTTGGACGCGTCCACCGAAGAAGTCGGTACTATCTGATGGGGTAGGGAGTTCCAGTTGTTGACCAGAGTCATGGCAACTTGATTCGGTCATGATTCTTCTAATATCCAGTGTCTGTTTAACGAGCTTGTGTAAGCCAGTCGACTTGTTCGTGCTTTCTTTCCGATTTAGTAGATCCATCCACTCGTCTGCCATATCTCTGGTATACAGGAAAGGAGGTTGAGTGTCAGTTGGTTTGCTTGAGACTGTGTTGCAGTTGGGTTCTTCAGGTTTCGAGTTGCCAGACAGTTGTCCGGACTGATCGTCAGGGCGTTAGGGATAGTGGAGAGAACCTGGGAAGACAAATGTGTGTGAGTAAAAGACGAAGAAAAGTGGACTGATGGAGTAATCTACGTGCGACCAAGTAGGATGGGGGGGGGGGTACAAAGATATCTAGAACTTAGGTAGGTGAGGCTAATTCATAATGAGTGGGTGGGATGAAAAGGGCTTAAATGATTAGAGCGGGAAGAAAACTAGTGTAGAGGTAACAGGGTTGGAATGGTATGACAGCAGATGATTTCTTCAGTCTGCTCTGTATTCCAACTAGATAAGCGTAAACGGTGGGTCACACTTCGGAACAAGGTGTGAAGAGAGGGATCTGAGCCCTGATATTTTACTTCGGAGTTCTCTCGCGTTACTGTAACGACACTTGGAAGTGCTTCTCGTGACGTCAGATGTCTCTGGGTTAGCTAGTAGCACAAGTTTGGATGTGTTGGGGGCTTTTACTGGCTGGCCAGTTCCTGTTTAACTGGCCCAGGAGGAGTGGTGCAATCGATGCCGGGTGGAGGTTGCCGGCCTGACTCTCGGCGTGTTGGTGTAGGGTGGTGGCAACCTGAGGACGGGGGTGGCTGTTGTTTGTTGTTGTCGCAGTGTTCTAGATCTGTTTTCATAGCAGCGAACATTCCCGTTTATGTTGCTCTTCACTTTATGCAACGTTTTTAGCATTTTATTTTAGTATTTATAAGTGCGTCTTTACGTGCATTTTGTTGTTTTACGGTCTCGTCTACTGAATTCGTCTACGTGCCAATGGACGGTGTTCTCCTCAGCGGCCTGGATTTCGTAACCAATGGGTTCAAACGCTTATGCGTTATCAAATAAATCACAGAGTTGCGATGGTCGCTTCTGGCTGGAATCGTTAGTGCCTGTTTTATCTCATCGTTGATTCCGCGGAATTTAATCGGTCTGCATTGGCCTATGGGCTCCTGAGAAGATGCCTCTATATAGCCTCTGTTTTAATTATATGTAATAATGATGAATGGTGGTTAGCAGTGCGATTTAGGATATGCATTTCGTCCTATTTGGGACTTGTCGCCTTCAAATGCCATAGCCGTTCAATTCGGTTCACCTAACGACGAGATAATTCAAGCAACACGGTTGAGTTAGTTAGTTTTTTTGTTTGGGAATAAGGTCTGGACATTGGGTGATCATCCATTTTTTGATTATACAACGTGTTACTGAGAATTAATTTTGTTTCACCCTTGTCTACCAGAGTAATTACCACAGGTTTAACTGCTTTTAGCCTTCTAAGTGCTGTCAACTCCTTCCCACTGATAGTGAATCTTCTGCTTTTTTTATTTAATGTTAAACCGCACTGTGCTGGTATCAATTGGGCGGTTTGTTGATTTCATCCTTCTAGTGCTGTTTTAGTGCTGGGTATAGCATCCTCTGCCTGTAGTTTCATGTTGCTAACATTAAACTTCACTTGTTTGCTCAGAATTCCTCCTTCCATCTCTGTTTTTATGTTTTCTAGTCCTAAATATTGAACGAATTTTATCTATCATTTTGTTATATGGCCACCAAGCTAGGAAGTTGGTTATCACTATCCCTAACTCTGCCTAACGACCAGTCTGAACAACTGTCTGGCAACTCGAAATCTGAAGCAGCCAACTGTACCACAGTCCAAGGCGAACTAACCAACACTTAACCTCCTGTTCTGTATACCAGAGCTATAGCAGACGAGTGAATGGAATTACTGTATCGGAATCCGCCAAAGACTTGGAATCGTTCCGCAAGACTGAGAAGCGAGCAAGAAGACATCAACTGGTTTACACAAGCTTGTCAAACAGATATTGGATGCACGTTAGTATTCTGGAAGCAACTGACAGAAAGGAGGCTTTGAATATACACCCCGTGAGGATTGACGAGTGTCAACAAGCACAAAATCGTCATCTATAGCTCCCTCCTAACTGTCTTTAATAACATAACTTGTGTTACTACTATAGTGAAATGGCTAGAATGCCTCATACATGTAGCCGGTTCAGTTACTAATCAAATTTGAACATTTGTAGGGGAGCGTGTCACAATTCCCTACTTAACTTGATGTACTCTAGTATCTGCTTAACTAGTACTTTACCTAACGTGTAAGCACTGATAACAAAACACAAATCAAAAGAACTGATACGAAATGTATTTGAAGTAGCTATGTATTTAATTTAAGTAAATGTAATAATAATGAATGGGGAAAAAGTTTAATCAACTTATCTGGCTTGTAAGGCTGAACTAGGGACTCGAAGTACGTGCGTGGTAATCAACACAATGGAGCGCAAAATGGCGTCCAAGCCTGCTCGGATGTATGCTCGTTAAAACAAAACTTAAAACACCCTAAGCATCCGCAGGCAAGCTAGAGATTTATTTAGTTAATTTAATTTAAACTATTTATTTTAGTCTTCGTTATATTTTAGTGTCAGGAAGATGCACTACACATTTATTCTCTCCTTCAAACAATCACCGTTATCCTGACTATGAGACGTTAGAAAATCAAGGTGAATTTGATAAAAATTCATTTTCTAAATTATACTCAACAGTTGATTAGAAATAGAATTTGAACAAATACTACTTATGTATCCATTTTCATTATTAATAATCAAAATATGTTCTATTCTATGGTATATACAAAAGAGAAACTCAAATAACTAAACAAACAAATTTTATAATGTAGGTTCAAGGTTTGAGGAGTTCTATACTAGGATAAAGCAGCTATTCAGTGCGCTTCTAGGATCATTTTTTAATGTTTCTTCAAATAATCTTAGGCCTTAGTGACTAGTATTTGTTTCATTTGCTTAACATACAAGGTAAATAATTGATTGTTGTGAAATTTGAGTAATTTACAAAGTATTTATTTACTAAGTCAACAATAAGGGTATGATGTAAACATTAGTATAGGCGATAATAATGAAGATTTATATAAAAGTTATTGTATAGTTCAATTGAATCTTAAATAATCTGAAGAAAAAAAATCAACTGCTAAAACAATGAAAACTTTTTCAAATATTCTTGTCTTTAGATCAGTTTTGTTATTCATTATCGGTTCACAATTAGTTGAAGGTTAGTCAGTATTCATCATAAAAGTGTTTAATCCATGATACTGATAACCTATTGCATAAACATTCATTTCAGTTGAAAGAAAGTTTAGTCAAGTTTTTATTATTATTATTTTATTATTAGTCCCTTGGGTTCCTAGTGGAACATAGGGCTTCAGTAACACGTCTCCAGTACACTCTGTTCTCTGAGATCTTTTCAACCTGGTTCCACGACAGCCCACAACCTCTCATTTCCTCCTCCCACGATCTCCTCCATGTCACCCTCACCTCGGACACCCAACTCGTCGCTTCCCATGGGGATTCCACTAGAGGGCCTGACACGTGATGTCCCCAGTCGGCCTTCTCAGTGCATGGCCAATCCATCTCCACTTCCTCCTGCATATTTGTTGGGTAATAGGTTCTTGGTTGGTTCGTTCCCAGAGTTCCTTGTTGCTTATTCTCACTATTCTGGCCATCTGATCTTCAGTAGCGAGCGTGAGCAGTTGTTGATGAATGTCTGTAGTTTATTGGAAATACCTTTCGTGACGCGCCAAGTCTCTGAACCATACAGAAGCACTGACTTGACGTTGGTGTTGAAAATCCGTATCTTGTTCTACATGCTGAGTGTAGAAGATCTCCACACTGGTTTCAGGCTAATGAACACCTGTCTTGCTTTTCCGATTCTGACTTTGACGTCCTCGTCCGTCCCGCCTGTAGTTGAGACAGTGCTTCCTAGATAAGTGAAGGAGGTTACTTCCTTTAAGTTTCTCCCGTTGACGGTGATTGGAGTTTGTTGTTGTTGGTGGTGGTGAGGTAATAGTCAAGTTTATAGGGATTTATTTATTAATATCCAGTTGGTATTTATCATGGATTGATATTAGCCAGAGAACCAGTGAAAAACACTTGAGAACAGTGGACAACTGAAAGTTATGGGTTCGACTTCTGGTGGAGTGGTAGGTGTGCACCGCTAAGGGGTCACATAGTAGGACGAAATGGCTCTTTAGTTGATATCAGTCCATAATGAATACCAACCTGAAATATTCACTTTATCATTATAATAACACATCATTTATGTGAATTTTGAATGAGCAGTCGACAGTCCTCAGTTTTTAAGAGTATTTTAACCAACAGAAGTTGATCCGAAAAAAATGTTCGAATAGCTTATCATTCTTTAACTTTAAGGGATGATCAGTTTTAAAAAAAGTTAATGACTAGTGGAGTTGTGGCTCAGTGGTTTAAGGAGATGACTATCGACTATTAGGTCACAGGTTCGAGATCCACTCTACGTACGAAGGTTTGGGCAATCAGGTAGTATCACTTGCTGTCACACAATAGGTATGACTCGTTGCCTATTACTGTACGAATGTGCACAAGGTGGGCAAGTGTGTTTCGTTCGTTCGAAGGTTAACGTCTAAGAAAAACTGTTATTCATATAGTTGATGAGAATAAGGAATACGGAATCATGTCTGATACAAAAGCTCAGAAAGTTTGACTATCAGCTTAGTAACTACTTTTCCGTCTTATTCCAATACATTTTCAGGTTGACTGTGTGAGATATACGTGGTTTACTAGACTTGTATTATCAAAACCCTGGTGATGATTGAAGGGGAAATGAAAACATGGGTCACGACAGGATTCGAACCAAAAACCTGCGGGTTACCAGGTACATAGTTCACTAAGCCATGCTACCCAGCTGCAGATCAGATCTTGATTTAGCATCAGTTAAGGGTTTCGCTTGACTGTGGTGTGAATTCATTATGTGTATTCTTAAAGGCTTCCCAATCAAGACTTCTCACCTCAGTCGAAATAGAAGTGGGAGGAGAATCATATTGATTATCAATTTGACTGTGTGAGAGCCTGAATATGCTCAGCAGTAGAATACTATCAAGCTTATATTGTTGACATTGGCTAGCAATCAAGTAAAGGGTGACTATTTTGATTTCTCTGTGATTTATTTGAATCAAGAATTGGATTATTTTTTTATGCATGAATATACTACTTGGACTACACGTCTCTGGGAGTAACAGTTAGTGTCCATTGCAGAATGCAAAGAGGTCACCATGAGTTTTACTTTGCTATTCTGGATAAAATAAACCTCTTCGAAGATTAAAACTTCAGTTTGCAGTATTATTTCAATAAATATGAATTCAGGTAGACATTCTCTGAGAAAATCAATCCTCTAACCGGAGAATACAGATTCCTGGGTAATCGAATGAAGAAGAATATGACTGAGTTGGATAAGAAATAGGTTTTGAAGAAGGTAAAAAACTTATCGAGAAGAAATTTAGTTGATAACTGTATCTACTAGGGTTTCAAATCTCTTGTTTATGTCTTGCCACAAATGGATATGCTGAATGTTACAATTCAATCAGTATTATCCATAATCAGTTTGCTATTTGACAGGCTTTTTCATAGGTTAGTAAAACAGCTGAAACTCATCCATAGAAAGTCTACAGCCTAGACAAAGAAGGAAGGACACCTTTCGTCTGTATATATCTCCAAAATATTAATGGTGTCAACTGATTTATCATATCTACTTGAAATATTCCTGTGCAGTAGGCCACAGCGCTTACAGCTAACAAGAAGACCGTCTTTCTGTGCCAAAATAAGAATTCCATCAACTACTATTCATACATATGAAAGATATAACACTTTAGCTGGACAGTGTATTACATTGTAGGGTTAATTGAGTAACCATGGCGAGCTTTTTGAAGCCAATGTTAGTGGATATAATATAACTGCTTGTATTATACCGTCGTTGATTGGACCGAATTGATCGGTCTCTGTTGGCATATGGGCCCCTGTGTGGATGCCTCGATATTACCTGTGTTCTAATTATAGTAAATATGGATAGTGGCTAGCAGTGGAATCCAGGATGCGCATTTAGTCCTACTTGGGACTTGTCAGCTCGATGTAGCTGCCTCCCAGTGAGTGGTGTTGTTCACACCGGGATTCGGACTTGGGATCGATCACTTGAAACGCAAGAGCGTTACCCACTGTAGTTAATAGATATATTTAAGGGTCAAGGACACAAGAAATGACATTCTACACCAAGTACATTAAAAATAGATTTACTATCTGAAATCATTTCTGACATATCACTAATTTATACTAGTTGGTTAGAGGTAGCTGACAGAAAGTTTTGCGTCTAACTTTCATGTTTGTTGACACTCATCAGTAAGATGTGTCTTCTCAGATTATGACCCGTGTCATTTAGTGTTGCAATCAGTGACGTTACCACTAATTTGTTCATGCTGTGATTGACCTGTTCTAACACTGCACTGCATACACTGATTAGTTACCACTTGTCAGAAAAGTGCATCTGTAATGTCAAAGGGACTATAAGATTCGAACCTGAGATCTACTAACACTCATCAACAGACTGGGTTATTCACCGTTTTTTTCTTTTGGTGATCCATTTTTGATTTCACTTTATTGTATCCTTCTAGTAAACATAAATCGCTTTTACGATGTACGACCCAAATCACAAGTATCAGTAAACACCAGCTGATACCTGTTGCACAGGTGGTGGCTATGGTGATACTATGACCTAGTAGATAATATTTCCAAGCTTGAAACGATGAGTACTAGTCTGACGTCTGAGTAGGAATGTGGTAAAGGTTCTTTCAGCTGACAAGTGAGTCCTCTGGATTTCATTGTTAGTCACCAAACGCACCACAATGTTAATTTATTTAAATGAATAGATAGTTACCATGATAACTCAGCTAATTCATCGACATTTTGAATAGTTTGTAAATAAATTATACCTGAGTGATTTGTCTTCCAGGTAATGTTTCTTCTAGATATAAAGTTGTTCGTCGAAAATCAACCTTTATGCATATAATTTGATCTAACTGGTAGATTATTCGAATTTATTTAAAGGATTGACTGATTTGATGGGATGTTAAACTACAGAAATCACTAAACATTAATCTTTTGGAAGTGGTATTCATCCTGGAGTGACATTAGTTGGGAAACCATTGAAAATCTGGGAGCAGTGGACAGCTGTTTCGTCCTAGTATGGGACTCGTCAGCAGTACGCACCCATGACCCAGCTAGAGATCGGACTGAAGACGTTTAGGTTTCACAGCGAAGCATTCAACCACTGGGTCGGTTTCCAGTGGTTGACAATTTCCGACTTCTATAAATTCACGATATAGCGCGACTATCACCCAAGGTCTTCACTTAGCATCCACTTCACTTCCAACTGCTTGACCCCACAGGTCACGACTTCTCATTAGAACTTCCTGATATCCATCTGGAAGCAAGTCACTAATGAGCAGAGCACTAGAGAGTAATGTATTTTTGAGATGAATGGGGGTTTCTTTAAATTTAGAAGTAGTATTCATCATGGAATGATATCCCTATTCATCTTAAAAATACATTAGTCTCTTGACTGAATTCCATGCTAAATACTAACAGAATATAATACTTTACCCATGATTGTTTATTTAATCTATTTGTGAATAATTTTTCATCCATAAAGGTTTCGGTGAGTTGAACCTTTAATAATATTCTAATGATAATCAATTTCTTGAATAATGAGCAATGCTTCTATGTTATACGATTAATAATAGGAGAATGACTTGTCAACTTGATATTCACTTAATATCAGAAGAAGAAGACAATCAGATTGAAAATATATTTCACTTCAACCGAATGAATCTTTATAGCTGAAAATTCAGTCATTTGTATACCCTTAGATGGCTTTGATCAGAGAAAACATAACAGCAGATCAAAAGTGTAAAACGAATCAATCAGCGTTCAGTATCCTAAACCCCGATAGAAATAAGTAACATTACATGAAGTAGAAGGAGCGCTAAAATAAGGTTGGAGTTTTATAATGATAATATACACATAAATTAGTTTTTCTTAGGGATAAGACATCCCTAGTAAACAGGTTTGAAGAATCAAACATGATGCAAAGTACCAATCAGTATATGAATAACTTCGCTTTTTATCTTAGAAGTCTTGGAATTCTGTCTTTAGATAAAATGAATTGGATAATTTCAAACATGCAACAATTTTCACCAATACATTGAATATTCCCATTTAGATATTTAGAAGCAGGACTGATTGAGTGGGTGAAGAAATGTATATTCCTTTTCAATTAGATCCGTCTTCATCTTGAGCTCTACACTAATATTGCATAGTATTACAGTTTGGTCAAATTACCAATCATGTGGTCATGTCTCGGAAATAATCATGTCAATAATCAATAGAGTTACTAAGAAGTTGGAAATATGAATACTGACAGAAACAAGGGGAATAGGGAAGAGGTGTACAAAGTAAACCTAGAAGTTACATCATGTTGTGACGGCCACAGTAAAGCATTCCCAGCCGCTAAATTATGTCCCACCACCCGATTCTAGGTGCAAGAAATAAAGACAAACTGACTAATGCTGCCACTTCTATGTGCATTTATCAATTCAACTGCTCCTGTGGAGCGAGTTACATTGGGCGTACAATGAGACAGTTCCATCGTCGAATTTCTGAGCACCATCCATCATGGTTGAACAAGGGATAAGTTAGAACTATAAAGAACTTCATACTTACACACTTAGTTGACACAGGATATCAAGTGGATACTAGAAAAGCCTTCAAAATCATCCATCAGATTCCAATTCATTTACCTCATGGATTATGCACTTGATTACTTCACATAGTAGAGGCGATTGCAATCCATCTTTACAAACCTAACCTTTGTATCCAAAAGAAGTTTGTTCGATCACTTTCATCACCGTGGCCGTCGACATGATGTAACTTCTAGGTTTACTTTGTACACCTCTTCCCCGTTCCCCTTCCCCTTGTTTCTATCAATATTCATATTTCCAATATCTTAGTTACTCTATTGATTATTGACATGATTATTTCCGAGACATGACCACATGATTGGTAATTTGATTAAATTGTAATACTATGCAATATTAGTGTACAGCTCAAGATGAAGACCTAATTTTCATCAAGTTCTTCAGCGTCAAAACAAGCCAAGTTTGAGATGAAAGCATTTTTAAAATAGATTGAGAGTTATGGACTGTAAGGGAATCGATCTTTCCTTGTAGATTTGTCAATCATAAGATGATGCATATACACAGATGACAAATATGATGGATGATAAGAGGGAGGAATAACGAATGCATAAACATATTCTTCCTGAGAATACAAAGTTCACATTTGAGGAATCTTATTGCAAGTTGTTTTTTCACGTCTTTCGGGAGTCATTCACTGCGTAATTCAAGACCAATTAATAGCCTATTAAATCTTAGCTCTTCATCTTGCATACATATACCAAGTTAATTGTTTCTGTCGAACAAGTTACATACGGCTTACGATTGGGTACGTGTATCACTCAATTTTAGAACACTTGTCAAAGTCTGGTTTAAGAAAGGATGAAATGAAAGTGAAGGGGAAGTTTTGTCCATCTATCATCTTCATCATCTGTTTATGTGTCATCTCACTTTAAGAATCCATTCACTTCAAAATTTGCCTTGTTTCTATGCTGTACAATTGGATTTTATAATTATAGAACCTGAAAGGAAATTGATGAAAATGAACGATAACAGATTTCAAAATGAAAATGAAAATCTCATCTTGAAATCAAATCGAATACAAATTGAAAGTGAAGACGGTAGACAAACGGAAGTGATCACTTTCAGTATGGATACGAAGGATGAGCTCAACCATTTGAAGTATAAAAACATCTGTCAAAGTATTTGAAACGTCTAAAAAGGATTTAAAATCTACTGAATGGCACGTATTAGTTAGACATGAATGTAGGGATTATGACAAATCAAACGTTTATCATTATTTTGCAAATTTTCTTGTCTCATCTTCTAATGTATCATCTGCGCATATCCATCTGCATAACTTCAAGGAGATAATACTACTTTTATATGGATAAGTAAAGTCAAATTCACATTCGGAAGTGAACATTTCCCTGTAAGATTGATAGGGTTGCTATGGAAATTCCTTTAGGACTCCTTTTAACAGATATATTTATATCCTACATGGAAAACTTAGCACGGAATCTAATTGAAAAAAGCTCAAACCAGACCACTTCAATTTTAAATCGATTGGATGAAGCATAGAACAGCATATCCTTGACATATGTAGAGGGGGAAGATGATTATATGTGTTTCTTAGACATACTAATTAATCGACAACAGGATGGGTCCATGAAAAGATCTGTCTCCAGAAACATTACAAAGAAGAGGGGAACAAATATCCACAGATGGAAAAGGAACATCGACCAAGATACTGCTTTCATAATGAGTTTGATTCAGTATAGCGCATAGAATTAGTTTTCTCACAGAGCAGTTACTCTAAAAAGACGATATGCATAACCAAATTCGTACGTAACCAGCTACAGTTAAAAGTAAAATAACTACTTCAGTGAATATCTTCACAGCTTAATTAATCTGGCTGACAATAAAGTAGCTGTTTATCTTGAGTTTCTGAATATTTGTTATATGATTTCTAAATAAAACATCTCTTTTCATCAACAGTTGTAAAAAGCGATAACGCAAACGAGTTAGTTCGAAAAATCCTTTTCAAAAAAATATTTTGTGCTTTAATTTTTACTACTTAATTGTGTGTCAGTAGTCTAACGAGTTTCTGTACTAATATAACCCAGTGATTCGAGACTCATTTGTAGAATTGGTTAATGAATAGCACCACTTTTTAAAAGTCTCAGTTTAGGATGATCTACATTCTTCACATAGCTTAGTAGATTTCCAACTGCCGCCTAACTGTGGTGATGTCCACAGAGTCTCCGTTGAAAACCACCAGTGTTATGAACCAGTGAAATATACTACTACTGAACAATTTGAGTAGTTAGGAACCACTCAGGTTGATTTGTAGATTTCTCTAGCCTTCCAGATTAAAATAAGCTAAACACTACACCTGATCACCGTTTCCCTCGTCTCGAGCTAAGACAGTTCATCAACGATGTGTCTGGACAAATTAAGCTCATAGTTCAGATTACCTTAATCTAGTTGACTAACAGGCTTGTATAGACGGGAATACCATAAGTTGAATAGGATGGTCAATTTACAAATGATTTGGCAATTGCATAGTCCTTATTGACATTCCTCAAATAGCTGAGTAGTTTATCAACTACCCAACAGTGATGCCAAGGAATACAGCTTCCTTTGGAAATCGCTCCTTGGTTAACATCACAAAGTGTGAACTCTGACACAAAAGTATCTCAGTTTATCGAAGATTTCATTGGTGAATGTTTGTTGGTCTTTAACGATCCTCCCGATGGCCTTGACCTTGACCCAACCCAAGATGAGCGTATATTTTAATACTGCAACAAAATATTTGTCAATCTCCATCAATGGAATAAAAGTAATGAGAATAATACTCCAATAGTTTCTCCTTTTAATAATCTTTGATAAGTTCCTAGAACACACAGCAGTTTCGATGAAGTTGAAAATAACCATTTGTAATAAAGTTTAATTATTGATTGAATACTGTTGCTTGTTCAGTGTTCTAATTACAGTCCATTCTATGCTTACTTTAAATGATATCCCTGTGTTGACGGTTTGGCCTGTGTTCTGGTTTGATCCTCGATTTAGTTCTCCTATTGTATCCTATAACCTCGCCTGGTTAACTAGTTTACTAGTTACTAGCCGGTCCTAAGCCCGGGTAAAGAGGGAAGGTTGGGCATAGGGCTAGCAACCCTACCCCGTAAAACAAATCTAACCGCTAAAGAAACTTCAAAGCACAAACAAAATATAAAAAATGAAAACAAACTTATTCCCCGCTGGAATCGGAGAGGCGAAATGACGCCAGTTGGTGAAAGCCTTCGGGAAGCCAATTGGCCGATGTGTCTTCTCTCGATGAAAGCGAAAGTAAACGTGGGGACATGGAATGTCCGCACGATGTTTGAACCCAGTAAGGCAGCCCAGATTGCAAGGGAGATGAGAAGGTATAACATCGAAGTGCTTGGGATTTGCGAAAGCAGATGGAATGGGAGTGGACTCTCCAAACTGTCAACTGGAGAATCAATAATCTACTCCGGTCACCCAGACGCCAACCACGAGCACACTGAGGGAGTGGCTATCATGATGTCCTCAAGAGCATCGAAGGCTCTCATGCAGTGGGAACCAATCTCCTCCAGGATCATGACAGCAAGATTCAACTCAAAAGGAAGAAAGGTCACAATCATACAATGTTATGCACCTACAAATAATGCAGAGCAAGAGAAAAAGGAGGATTTCTACAGACAACTTCAATCAACACTGGACAAGACGTCAGTTGGCGATATCAAAATTCTGATGGGCGACATGAATGCCAAACTGGGAGGGGACAACACGGGAAGAGAACTAACCATGGGTCGAGAGGCGCTAGGTGAAATGAATGAGAATGGAGAATTGTTTGCAGAATTCTGCGCATTCAACGATTTGGTGATTGGAGGCAGTGTGTTCAGGCACAAAGATATCCACAAAGCGACATGGATTTCACCAGATGGACACACTAAAAATCAAATCGACTTTATCTCAATCTCAAGAAAATGGAGACGCAGTCTACTTAACACAAGGTCAAGAAGAGGAGCAGATGTAGGTTCAGACCACTACCTAGTGCAAGGAACCTTCCAAATCAAGTTAAAAGCCTTCAAGGAAGCTGGTGATAGACCTCAACCCAAGTACAACACTCGGAAACTGAAGGATGAAACTACAAAGGAGATCTTCAAGGCAGCCATCAAGACAAAATGGGAGACATCGAGCAACATCCCTGAAGAAACCTGTGTGGAAGAACACTGGAAGTCTTTGAAAGCTATGTGGAAAGAAACCTGCACAACAGTATTAGGAAGGAAGAAGAAAGAAGACAAGGAATGGATCTCGACGGATACCTGGAAGCTGATAGAGGAGAGGAGGATGGTGAAGCAGAAGATAAACCAGTGCAAGGATGCTCAACGACAAGAGGAACTGAGCACAATGTATAAAACACTGGACAAAGAAGTGAAGAAGAGTGCACGCAAAGACAAAAGACACTTCTACGAAACACTGGCAAGTGAAGCAGAACAGGCTGCAGGTAAGAGAGACCTGACGACATTGTATCAAATAACCAGGTTGCTATCAGGGAAGAGACCAACACAGATGAAACCAATAAAAGATGAAGAAGGAAATTTAATTACAAAAGAAGAGAAACAGAGGAAACGATGGGCCGACCACTTCAAGAAGCTCTTGAATCGACCACCACCTGCACTTCGTCCAGAAATACCACCTGCAGCCGCTGAATTACAAGTGAACATTAATCCCCCAACGAAAATGGAAGTCCTGAACGCCATAAAGCTACTGAAATGTGGGAAAGCAGCAGGACCAGATGGAATACCGCCAGAAGCACTGAGAACAGATGCAGAGACAACAGCGGACATGCTCACACCACTATTGCAGAAGGTGTGGAAGGAAGAGAAGGTACCTGACGATTGGAAGAAGGGTTACCTTGTCAAACTGCCGAAGAAGGGAGACCTCAGTGCTTGCAAGAACTGGCGCGGAATCACTCTCCTGTCCACCCCAAGTAAAATATTAAGCCGCATCATCCTGGAGAGGCTTAAAGACGCACTGGATTCAAAACTGCGACCGGAACAGGCAGGCTTCAGGAAGTACAAATCATGTGCAGACCAAATTGCAACGCTTCGTATCATCATAGAACAGAGCATAGAATGGCAATCACCTCTCCACCTCAACTTCATCGACTTTGAGAAGGCCTTTGACAGCGTCGACCGAGAAGTAATTTGGAAACTGCTTCAATACTACGGAGTACCGCAAACCTTTATCCGCCTCATTCAACAACTATATGAAGATGCCACATGCCAAGTAATCCACAATGGGAAGCTCAGTGATGCCTTTGAAGTGAAGACAGGAGTGAAACAAGGTTGCCTACTATCCCCCATGATATTCTTGATTGTGGTGGACTGGATCATGCAGCAAACAGTAGGCAGCGAGAAGAGGGGGATACACTGGACGACGGAAAAGAACCTAGAAGACTTGGATTTCGCCGATGACTTATGCCTAATGTCACATAAACTTGAAGATCTGCAGGCAAAAACTAACAAGTTGATAGAAGAGGCAGCGAAGACGGGACTTCAGGTGAATATAGAGAAGACAGAAGTGATGAAGATACCGCACCACCACCATCAACAACAACAACAACAAACTCCAATCACCGTCAACGGGAGAAACTTAAAGGAAGTAACCTCCTTCACTTATCTAGGAAGCACTGTTTCAACTACAGGCGGGACGGACGAGGACGTCAAAGTCAGAATCGGAAAAGCAAGACAGGCGTTCATTAGCCTGAAACCAGTGTGGAGATCTTCTGCACTCAGCATGCGGAACAAGATACGGATTTTCAACACCAACGTCAAGTCAGTGCTCTTGTATGGCTCAGAGACTTGGCGCGTCACGAAAGGTATTTCCAATAAACTACAGACATTCATCAACAACTGCTTACGCTCGCTGCTGAAGATCAGATGGCCACAAAAAAATAAGCAACAAGGAACTCTGGGAACGAACCAACCAAGAACCTATCACGCAACAAATATGCAGGAAGAAGTGGAGATGGATTGGCCATGCACTGAGAAGGCCGACTGAGGACATCACGCGTCAGGCCAGCTCGAGTGGAATCCCCATGGGAAGCGACGAGTTGGACGTCCGAGGTGAGGGTGACATGGAGGAGGTCGTGCGAGCAGGAAATGAGAGGTTGTGGGCTGTCGTGGGACCAGGTTCAAAAGATCTCAGAGAACAGAGGTCACTGGAGGCGTGCTACTGAAGCCCTATGTTCCACTAGGAACCCAAGGGACTAATAATAATAATAATAATTGTATCCTATAATCTGCGGACTAAGGAAAATAACCAAACGCTTGTCCTAACTACTATTATTCGTCCAATTACTATATGGTAGTTGATTCGACAGCCGGTAATATCACACCGGCTGACTTGGAGAGAAGACAAAATTCAAATTCAAGTTAATATTCATTATACACTGAAATCGGAATCCCGTCAGAAGCATGGAGAACAGACGCAGAGACAACAGCGGACATGCTCACATCACTATTGCAGAAGGTCTGGAAGGAAGTAAAGGTACCTGGCAATTGGAAGAAGGGTTACCTTGTCAAACTCTTAAACAAGGAAGACCTAAGTCTTTGCAAGAACTGATGCGGAATCACGCTCCTGCCCACCCCAAGTGGGCAAATATTAAGCCACATCATCCTAGAAAGACTGAATGATGCACTGGATTCAAAACTACGACCGGAACAGGCTGACTAGATTCAGGAAGTACAAATCATATGTGGACCAAATTGCAACACTACACTACGCATCATCATAGAACAGAGTACAGAATGCCAGTCAACCCTCTACCTCAACTTCATCGACTTTGAGAAGGCCTTTGACAGCGTCGACCGAGAGGTAATTTGGAAACTGCTTCAGTACTACGGAATACCACAAACCTTTATCAGTCTCATTCAGCGACTATAGGAAGATGCCACATGACAAGTAATTCACAATGGAAAGTTCAGTGATGCC